GACTATTAATAAATAAGTTATTAGTTTTAAAAGAAACAAAATACTATTGTTAATAAATAACACTATTACAATTAGAAACTAAACTATGCATGCCTATTAAATATTTACACATGGCTTATATATATTGTATATATATATATTATTCATACCTTCAGTGTATAGGACACAAGCAGATTTTGACATCAAATTTTGGGGTAAAAAAAGTGTGTCTTATACACCGAAAAAAACGGTAACTTGCATATCAAAATAAGTTCAAGCTTAAAAAACATTCTCATACTAGGATGACTAGAAACTCTGGCCACCAAATTTTCTATAAACCAGTACTTGATCTTCTCATAATAAGGTTACTCTAATCACCATGACTGTTATACATTTATGACTTAAATTCACATTGCAGAATGACTTGATACCTTGGCTTATGCTGGATCAACATAATACTTACTGCATGTGTTTTTTTTATATAGGGTAACTTAGAAAATGGTAACTTGGTAACTTACAAAACTTAAATTTGGTATTCATACATTCTGCTTCAACACAACTCACAAATGTGAGGGTGTGGCCAAGAGGCCATTGTTTATGTAACTAGTTAAAGTGGTGCCTGTTGCTTATGTTTACATTTTATGTCTAATATATTGCTTACTTGTTACAAACTCGAAATGTAACCAGTATTACTAAAGGTAAAATTGCTTTAACTTTCTATATACAAGTTTGACCAGCCTTGTAACCACCATGTGACCATAGACACTATACATACTATAACTCTGAATTTACTACGGGATATCTTCATAAAATTTGGCAATCTTTTAGTAAACAGTACAAGTTTCTAAACAGTTAATAATTATCACTCCAATCCTAGAAAAACAAAGACACAACAACATTTACTGTTTGGTAAGAAGACTTGTCATGATACTGGATGGCTTCTTTGTTTTTCTAGGATTAGTGTGATAATTATTAACTTTTAGAAATGTTTAAAATATTCAAAGTATTATTTCTAAGTTTTTTATGAAACTGAGCTGGAATAATAGAGATTGCATGTTTTTCTTGTTAGTGTAACATGCAGTCAAATGTTCTTTGTTTTTGTTTTTTTTTCATTTTTTGTATAGCTGACTCCCAAACTTCACACATGTGCGAGTCCTGCTGACTCTTAACTTTTTACTCCTAATTTTATACCCTGTCTTTGATTACAGTTTGTATCATTTTTTTAAACTTAGATAACCAAAAAACTGCCTGACATTGGTCATTGTAGGATTTAAAAACTATTGCATGCATTTCATACAGCATGATGATTGTTGGGTTTGATCTCAGTACCTGAATATACAAAACACTTTCTAAACAACTATAAAGCATATTTATTCACTTAACAGAGTTCTTATCAATATCACATAACTATATGATTCACTGCACTCTTCTATGATGCTATAAGCTGCTCATTATTAGTTAATTAAATAACACTTCACCTCGATAACATACTGTTCCAACTGGTGGAGGTGAATAAAATAAGATCCTTTTCTTGAGTAAAGCAAATTTCCAAAGAAGGAAAAGCTGTTCTCCAAAGAAATTCATCAAGTGGCAAAAACATTCTGTAGGATGGGACACCTAAAAGATATTCATAAGCATACATACACGTCATTTAGAACCTTGTAAAATATACATGTACGTGTATCAACATGAAAACAAAAATGTGTGACACTCATACAAAATAGAGAAATACACATATGTAAATTGATTACAAGAATGATGTACTGGATTCCTAAAAACTATAGACAACATCACATAAGTGTCAAAAGTTAAAGGCTTTCAATAAGTGCACTCAAGCCATACAAGGTACACAGGCCTTCCAGCAACTTTTTTGATAAGTGTAGAAACTTTTAAGTAAAAAAAGTAGATAAATGATAAGAGTTTTGAATGAAATCAAATACAGTGATATGCAATATCTATCTCTGCAACCTCTTACCTCTCCTTACAACTGCATCTTTAAAATCATCTTGTTAATGCTAGAAATTTCAGTAATATAAAAGACAATAAAACTGTATAATAAATATACTATACATTATTTAAAACTGTAGCAAAACAAGTATAATAATTGAATAACAGCAGTTTTTAAATGAGTAATCAAATTAGTATGAGAATATTAAAGTGTTAGTCCAATATCTCTTTTCTTTTTCTCCTGGCATGGAGTTTCACTAAAAGCTCTTTCAAACTCAGTTGTACTCTCATTTTTGTAAGATTATTCTGGGCCTTATCCAGTTTTTCCTTGGCTGCTGATAACATAGATTAAACAACTGTTGCATCATGAAGAACTGCCTTTTTAAAAGAGGCTCCATGACTAGCTTACTGTTTCCTTCATCCAAGTGAGACCTAGTAATATCTATCTCTTATTGTGCCTCTTTTTCTAAGTCTACCAAACTAATTTCTTTGCTGCATTTCTTGTGAAAGTCTTCCTTATTTTTACCTCTGCTTCTGATTACAAAGATTTTTCTTTTCCTGTTTAGTCTTCTTGGTTTACTCTTAATACCTTATTTGTACACTGCATATGATGATTGTAAGCCTTGATCATCTCTTTAGTGATTGGAACTTTTGATGGATCATTGTGTAATTCTGAGATTCTGTTTTGATATATTTTTTCTACTTTGCTACCAACCGATTGTTGATGGAAAATCCATGTTTGAAATCTACAATGCCATGACACAAATACAATGTTCCATTACAAGCTCACTTAAGCATAAAAACTTTAGTTTACTCAAAAATCACTTTCTTCCTTAAGGATAAAAACTATCTGACTTAAAAAAGTAACATTTATGTGAACTACAATATTGCGAAAGGATAAAAACTGACTGAAGGAAAGTAATGTGCATTAATATTAATTTGTTTTACAGTAAAATGAAGTGACCAAAACTGGTGAATTTAAATCATTACTTAGTACAACTTTCTCCATTTAACCAGTTTTCTGTCTCATACTGATCTAGTGACTAGGAAAGTAAACACAATATATTTAATATAGTCCTTTAATAAACTTTCTTCCTTGCTAGCGAGTCCTCTACTAAAACAAAAAAAAAGCAGGTGACATCAGTAGTTACTATAGGTTGACAATAAAAC